CTTCAAAATTGTCCGATATCGTTAGATAAGACCCCTATTCCTCGGCTGGGATCTTGTAGAGCCCTTTGAAGCTGCATTAAAACTGAAATTTGGACCTTCAACCTGCTGGTCCCCAGTGAAGTCCATTATATGCAGAAAAATCCTCAAAAACCTTCATTTCTTTGTGACTGAAGACAGAAAGAAATGAACATCTTGGATGACATGAGGGTGAATAAATTATAAAGGACATTTTTATTCTGGAAGTGAACTAATCCTTTAAATACAATTAGTTGAGCTTATAAGAGTGCTTTTTGACCCACTTAAGAAGGACATGGCTACTTTAATTTCATAAATACTTCGATTTTCTTTTAAATTACTTGGTGTACTGCCGAATGTACAAACAAACCTGCAGTTTTTCCCTCAGAGTCAATCATGTTATTTACAAGTGTGAATATACCAGCTGGTGTGACTGAGTCATTAAAAGAAACCGATTCACAAGAGTCACATCAATAATAACAACCGTACGCTTCAAGAGAATTAGAATTTCAATTTTTTTACAGGCTAAACCAGAGTTTTGCAGAGCATGAAAAAATCTTCAGGTCAATAAATGGGTATGTTCTCCATCTTTCTCACAGTATTCTCAAACTAACAGACTCAATAGATTATGAGGTGTTGTCATTACTTGAACAAGTCCGTCACACACAGATTGTTATGATGACCTTACCTGATCTTTTCATTTTTTAAGCCGTTAGAACATGTTGTTGGGCATTATCTATCATAGCATTGAACACATGATTGCAGTAACCTATATTTTTATCAGTTCTGCCGGTTTATAAATATTTATCTGTGCAAACCTGATTTTACACCCCATGTACATGTTTGAATGAAGCATACAGAAAGTAAACAAAAGTTGTGATTCACATTAATACAATAATATTCCATAAAAATGAATACATGAATAATGTCCTGTCTCTCATTCAGTCTTCTTCTCATCGGAGGCTCTGTGAATCTGGAGACATCTGACTTCGCTCACACCGCTGGGATTTACTTTAGACTTGCCCTTAAGGTAGGTGAATTACAGTATATGCTGCATCTAAGTGAATGTAAGATGATCCTTGTTGTTAAAGGGGTCATATGATGCGATTTCCTACAATAATGTACAGTATTTGAAAAATAATGTGTTTTTTGAACATTAAAGCATGTCAACATATTTTGTTACACCAAATAATGATCTTTAAAAAAGCATCATATGACCCCTTTAATAAAATGCCATTTTGTATCATCAACATACTGTTCTAGGATACTGCGATTTAACAGAACAGGTAGACATGATCATATACTGTACCATTACTGTAAATATTTTAGAAACTAAAAAGGCAGGGCTGTATGTTAACTTTTTTTGCATAGCACTGGTGCTACAGAGGTTAAAAGGTTTGTAGCACAGGCCACACAATTGTAGCACCACCACCACAAGTAGTGCAGTTCATCACTTAAACAGGACATTAATGTTCTAACATTATACAATACAAAAACATTAAACAAAATAATAATCTCAGGCGTTTTTATAAGAATAAAGTATATCTATAATGCAGTGTTAATCTCTGATATGAAACCATGTCAGATCACAAAAGGAAGTTATTTCAAACACTCGACTGATGTCATGAAGTGAATTTGGACTAAAAACGTCATTAAATGTTCTCTTGGTTTGACAACAAGTTTGTAAACAGGCTCACACACATTGCAATTTATTCATCGCACAGACTGATTTTTTTTTTCGTAGCACGTGCGACATGTCGCACTGTACAGGCCTGAAAGGAAATAAACTGAAAGACACTGCAAGACGTTGCTGACAGTTTTATCAAGAGTTGTTTTTGTGCCGTCTCAGGCGAATGATGAGGGTGAATACTTCCCCATCTGGGGAACATGCCTGGGATTTCAGCTGCTCACGGTGCTGGTGGCTGGAGAAAACCTGTTGAGTAAGACAACTGCAGAGAATGTCACTTATCCACTCAACTTCACCTCAGGTACTTAGTCCAAATATATACTGTAGTCGTAATGTACTGTATGTAGTCAAGATCAAGATCTTGGTCCAATTTTGTATTTTTTTGGTGATTATACACTCTTGAATTTATTTATTTATTTATTTTTTTAAATTGGGATCAGTGGTTCCATGAAGAACTTTTAACATCCATGAAATCTTTAGATTCTCTAAAAAGTTGATTATTAAAGGTGGATTATTAAAATGTTCTTCACACTAAGAAAAATATACACTTGGTTCAGTAATTTTTTTCTATCATTTTCTGAATAAATGAATACTTTTATTCATCAAGGATGTGTTAAATTGATAAAAAGTGATAGTAAAGACTAATTATATATATTATAGTAAAGAGTGATAGTAATAACTAATTATATATATATATATATATATATATATATATATATATAAACACATACACACATAAACACAACATATATATATATATACATACATACTGTATTATTAGGCCTTTTTTAACCTGTCTATTTGCACATTTGTATCCATTAACAGAGGCTTCATCCAGTCGTATGTTTACCAACTTCCCATCTGATGTCCGTAAAGCGTTGTCCCAGGAACCACTTACGGCAAATTTCCACCATTATGGGGTGACTAAAGAGGTACATCTATTATAAACACGCTATATGCACTTAAATAATTCTTATCAAAATAACAAACAAAGAGCAATAGACCTTAGTCAGGGTAATGCCATAATTAATTGTTGACAGGAATGAAAACAAGGCTGTGAAGGATAGAAGTACAGTGCGTTGAGGGGATTGTACTGTTCTTTAACAGCAACATAAAACAGATTTGAAAATTGTATGTGATCTAGGACCTATATATAGTGTGTGCCATTGTAAAGACACCAAGTCTATCCCTCACAGCCTTGTTTTCTTCCGTGTTTAATTCAATATGACACCTAACCCGATTAAGGCCTATGAACTCTTCCTCTTTTTCAGGCATTCATGGGTAATGAGAAATTAAATGGCTTCTTTTCAGTGCTGTCCACGAACATAGCGCAAAATGGCCTTGAGTTTGTTTCTACCATGGAAGGTAACAAAACCAGGCATTTTTCACATTTAAAATCACCATAAGCACCCATACACAGTGTGGTTGAAATGTTATTGGCCTGCAGGCAGGAAGTACCCTTTCTATGGGGTACAGTGGCATCCAGAAGTGAGCCGCTTTCAGTGGGACCCTCGTTACAACTTTCCTCATTCTAGCAATGCTGTGCGAGTGTCATCCTTACTGGCTGAATTCTTTGTAAATGAGGGTAATTACAGTCGCATACTTCATTTATTTATGTGTTTGTTCGTTCCTGGTTTGTATGAATTTGAATGAACAAATGAATGTGTGTGTTTGCAGGAAGGAGAAGCTCCCACCACTTCAGTGAAGCAGCAGAAGAGAGCAGCGCGCTCATATACAACTACAACCCTGTGTATATGGCAAATATCTCTGCATATGAACAGTCTTATTTCTTCTGAGAGACACAATATAGGAGGACACTGAGAAAGACAAAGAAAGAAAACACTTGTCAAGATAGTTCAGACTGAAAATGTTTTTTTTTTCCAGCAAATGTACTGTAATAGACCTCATCACAGACCTCATCTCATATTTAGAATATTTAGACAATTTAAATAATCAGTATTTTATTACATGATTTTAGATTTATTATAACACTCGTTAATTATTAGGATAATTACATATTTAATTCCTTCAAAAGAATAAATGTTATTATATACATGCATGTTTTGAAACTTTAAGAATTACACATTGCTAAAGCTCTAAAGATCAAAGGCACATTATGATTAATGTGCCAGAAGAGGGCAGTATTGTCATGTTCATGACATTTTTATACACATTCCATGTTTTTTCCCTCATGTTGTTTTATAAAACAGTCTATAGAATTTGTTTTGCAATAATGATGTTTTGCAATATATATATATATATATATACACATACATATAATGACCGTTTTATATTTATATATATATATATTACTGTAAAGTAATACAGTATATTACAGTACACACACACACACACACACACATATATATATATATATATATATATATATATATATTAGTAGTAATAATAGTAATATATGACTATGTTTAATTATATGATATATATATATATATATATTAGTAATAATAGTAATATATGACTATATGACTGTATATATATATATATATGCTTAATTATATGATTCATTAATATATATTACAATATGAAATTGAATAAAGATTTCACATCTACAAGCCATGTGTTTTTTCTGAATTATATTCATTCCTTACTTAATTTTAAGTGCACACTAAAACCTTTATCTATCATATGTAAAACAACAGATTTACTTAACTGTACAAATCATGAAATATCAATATCATTTTAATATCTTCGAAGGCTAAAATATACAAAAATGTTTTAATAATAATTGAAAAACAAAGAAATGAACTCTGCCAACCAGTCAACACTCTATAGACCTTATCTTGGCACCACAACATCACAGAGGCACAGGGGTGGGTTATTGTGTATTGAGGCCCTTAGGGGCCCCTCGGGATGAGGGTATTGTAGAGAAATGCTGGGTGGACTCTTTTTTTTACTTGTGGCAGTTTAGGGGGCCCTCCAATATCTCAGTACCACCATAATGTGAAGACACGAGGGTGGGATATTTTTAATAAAAGAGCCCTTTGTCGGCCTTGGGGGCCCCTTTCATATCTCAGAACCAGGCATAAAGGTGGGTTCCTTTGACTCATGCCATCACACACAAAAATCCAGCATAATGGTCATGAGTGTTGCGCTGACAAACACCACTCAAATTTTCTTCAGAAAGTGTCATTATTTTGGAATCGTTTTTATATACCAATTACTTATACATTACATTTAATGAGTCATGTGAATATACAAAATGACAGCCAGAGGACCGTCGTGTTTATGTCTTCGTATGTGAGTCACAGCTGACAGTGGAGAAGCGTGCTGAAGAAGATTGGCTCAATGTTGTGCCCATCACTCCGGCTGGGAGGGACTTTAATTCGCTCTTGTTTAGCTCTCAATGGATGCCAACATCAGCCACGACACGCGATCAGATGTAAAACGAAGGACGTTTTCTCTTCATCGCACGTGAACGCGAGCGAACGGCAGAATATGAGTGTGTCGTGAATGTGAACGACTGCATGAAACGACTGAGATCGCTATGAAGACGAGTGAGGATTGCGTTTAGTCAGATGAAGCCATATGTGCTGCGTGGCCTGACAGAGCGACAGACAGACAGAGGGCATCATCTCTCTGTTTATAAACACACATCCCTTCATACAAAGGAACCTCACGGGTGGACTGATGCACCCTTTCCAGTGGTGCAACGGTAAGATTACCCATATCCTTCCTGTGATATTGTAGGGTTTTATAGGCTGCTATATTAAAACAATAAAAGATAAAGCTTGAGGGTTGACTGGGTTCATTTACACAAACACCGTGTTCATAACAAAGAGATGTTGCTATATGGGTCAATGACAAGTAAGGCTCTGAAATGGAAAAGGAGAAATATAAAAAAAAAAATCTATAGTTTGAAACGCACATGCCAGGTCTTAGAAATGTAATAGTTGTATCCATATTGGTTTCATACATTTTGAAAAACAATTATTCCACATTCTCTTCAAAATCTGAAATGGAAAAGGAGAAATATAAAAAAAAAAATCTATAGTTTAAAACGCACATGCCAGGTCTTAGAAATGTAATAGTTGTATCCATATTGGTTTCATACATTTTGAAAAACAATTATTCCACATTCTCTTCAAAGAAGTTTGATTGAATGACTAAAAATGTCAAGTGGTGCAACCTTCAAATACTACTTACTTGAATACACATTAAGAGCAAATGTGTTTTTCAAAGCATTTGATTTTTTTTACTACTATCATACATTTTTGAGTCATGAATATGTAGTAATAATAATAATAATAATGTATTTTAAGTTTTCTTGGGGTTACTTCATTTGACTTGGAACAAGAATTTTTCATTAAAAGGTCAAAAAATCTAATATTTTTAGCAAACTTCATGACCTTGACGTGCAGTGATTGGTCTAAAGGGATTCTCTCTGTTTTATGGTTTTATTGTCAGGTTATAAAGATGGCCTCCTTCGTGTTAGTAACACCACACTGACTTTGGTGGACAAAAGTAATATTAATACATTATAATTCATATATGATTTATTTATTGTTATCAATATATGAATGATGCCAATAAACAATACAAATAAAACAATAACAAACATTGCTAATAATTTAAAAGAAAACATTTCATTTTTTATTTATTAACCGAAAACATCTTTATCATTGAACAGATGTATTTAAGCATTTTTATAACTGTATTTTTAATGTATTTTTTAATAACTTCAAAGATACAGACAAAAGTGTCATATTATTGACCCATATACAATATCTATTTTCATATACTAATACAAAGATTCATTATAGTCACTCTCCAACTGTTATATACACATGTACCAGTTAAAGGAGCATAGATTATATGATTGACAGCTTATTGTCACCTCACACTCACTTTAAAAGATTTTGACACTTAAAGGGACAAAAAGTCGATATTTTAATAGACTATTAAATATTTCCCAATACAGGAAAGCTTTAGCATTCATCTGTTCATACCTTTTGGATTTGATACAGATCTGCATATCATTCTTCTATCTAGATTATTGAGATTCACTGAGGGCTGTTAAAAAATTTCGATTACACCCGAATTCTTTCATATTTATAGGTCAGTCCATATTTGTCATGAAAGTGGGGTTTCTCTATAATCTCGTGGGGTTGTTAATATTTCATGTAAATCTCAGTGAAAAGGCTTTGAAAGAACTGAAATGCACATTTTGGGTCTGCTTTATGTAAAAAAGCAGCCATTTTATTCATACACAGTCAAACGTGGCCAGTACAGTCTTCAACATGTATCCTTTTGTGTTCCACAGAAGAAAGAAAGAGGGCAAATAATGACAGAATTTAAATTTCTGACTTGATACATGATAACAATTATAAATAATATTAAGCTATTTATGATTCAGCTTCATGGGAAAATTTGTCTATGTTGCTGCATATTTTTGATATCAGACAGAGAAAAAGAAGCGCCCATCTTTTTCACACTGCACACCGGCATCATACTCGCAAAATAGGTCAGCAGGTTTGCAAAGAGCTCTGCTGGCAAATGTGTGGTTTGTTCAAGGATCTGTTTTGCCAACACAAAAAGCACAGTTTAAATCCCAAGAAGGGGTGACTCAACCCTGCTTCATCAGTGTTGTGCCGCTGAGAGACTCCCTCACCCTGCGGGACGGCCTCCGCAGATGGCTTTCTGTTACTGAAGCAAATGTGTCTGTTAAATGGCAAGCAACTCTAGTGACCTACATTTATATGCCTTCTTATGCTCTCTTCCACACACCCCCTCATCTCACCTCCTGTTTGATTTTTTATTCATGTTGTATCACGAACAGTACTAACTCTTGTGCGCTTATTGAATGTGCACTTCAAAACTTATACGTATTTATTTTTTTAAATGTACTTGCAGATAATATAATATTATATTATATTATCTGCTCCGGGTGTGTGTTCACTGCTGTGTGTGTGCACTTAGGATGGGTTAAATGCAGAGCACTAATTCCTAGTATGGGTAACCATAGCCACATGTCATGTCACTTTAAAATTAATGAAATAAGTGGCATCTTAAGAGTACTTAAAGAGAATATACTTTCAAGACTATGTTCTTAACACACTTTGAAAAAGTATACTTTTTAATGATGCCAGATTAATGCCAGTACATCTTAAATCATTGTGTTTTAATAATCTTTTGTTATGCTTTAAAGAACTTGAACTAACATACTAAAGCACATGTAAAGAACTTGATTACAATTTCAACTGTATTGTGTTATTTGATATCACATTTACAGCTAATATATGTGCTAAATTACAAATGTGAAATTACAAATATATTTATATACATTACATAGACGTTTCAATAGAATATTTTAGATTCTCATAAATGCTTGTCAGTACATTCAGCAGTTACACTTTAACCGTATTTCAAAGACAATAGGATTAATGATTAAATTACATATAAAGATCTACTTAAGTCCTACTTAAGTTCAACTAATTGCATTTAATATAAATTTAAACTATAATACATTTTCATTTATTTGCAAATAAGTAAGTGTCTGAAAACATTACATTCAGTTTGCACTTAAGTATTTTCTTTAGAGTATATTATTTCTGTTTTTATTTCTGTTTAAAAGTATGCTAAAGTGTATTTACAAGAAACAATAAAATTTTTAATGAAAATTTATTGTATGTATTTAATTATTAGTTACACATTATAAATTATTATCAAATAATTAAAGGGGTCATATGACGTTGCTAAAACGAACATTATTTTGTGTATTTGGTGTAATGAAATGTGTTTATGTGGTTTGGGTTCAAAACAACCCAACTGCTGGGTCTGTCCCTTTTTAACCCAGCACTGGGTTATATTTAACCCAGCATTTTTTAGAGTGTAATATTGTGATATATTATTACAATCTAAAATAACTGTTTTGTATTTGAATATCTATTAAAATGTAATTTATTCCTGTGATGGTAAAGCTGAATTTTCAGCATCTTCACTCCAGTCTTCAATGTCACATGATCCTTCAGAAATAATTCTAATATGCTGATTTGCTGTTCAAGAAAGATTTATTATCATCAATGTTGAAAACAATTGTTCTACTTCATATTTTTGTAGAAACTTATATATTTTTTGTATGTTTGACCCCATTTGTAATGCCTGTTCAAAAACGTATCATGTTAACACAATATCTTTTAAATAATCAAATAGCATTTTTAATTATTCTTGAGTAGCAGTGGTAACAAAGCTAACAGACTCATTGGCTATAGCTACTAATGGTATACTAAGCTACAAGGCTAATTGGCTATCGCTATGCTAAGAAAACAGGCTTTGTTAGGTATCATGATGATAAGCTAGCAGGCTAATCAACTAGTGCAATGCAAAGCTAGTCGCTAAACCTGTTAGTGTGAGGTAACTGAAAAAAACAACAAATATTTAATGTGACCATTTATAGCTTCCATATGTAATATAAGCTATAAAAACATTAATTTTCATATTTATACAGTTAATAAAACATACGCTTACGTTATGCCTACGTCCTACATCTTCCGCTGGACCCCACTCTCTCGTGAACACGCGTACAACAGTTAGTGGAAACTAGAGATTACGGTTTATAAAGTTTTAAATATGGATATTATTCTTACACAAACACATTGATTCACTTCAGAAGGCCTTTATTAATCCCCCGGAGCCGTGTGGAGCACTTTTTATGATGGATGGACGCACTTTATTGGACTTCAAAATCTCAACACCCATTCACTGCCATTATAAAGCTTGGAAGAGCCAAGATATTTTTAATATAACTCTGATTGTAGTCATCTGAAAGCAAAAAGTCATATACACCTAGCATGGCTTGAGGGTGAGTAAATCATGGGGTAATTTTCATTTTTGGGTCAACTATCCCTTTAAGGCATTTTTGAAACCAAAAAGGATTTGTTGTGTTTGTGTTAAGAAACAGTCATGGAAGTGAACTCTCTTTAAGCACACTTAAGTGGAATTTTATTTCAGTTATATTAATTGAAAGTACAGTTTTTAAGATATGTATTTTTAAGATTCGAAGTACACTAGAAGTGTACATTCATTCAGTACAATTAAACACACTTATTTTTCACAAGGGATGGTCCAAAGGGCCACGGGATTCTGCAAGGTGAATCTTTCACAATGCTGGAACCAAATTCTAATGATGTAATGACTGTTAGCAGTCCGTTCACACACCTGCGTTTCCTCTTACAGAGAATCTAGACGCACAACTGAGTGAAAGCCCTTAATGTTTCCTGTTTTTGGCCAGTGAATGGTGGACTCAAGTCTGAAACACTGTTAGATTAGTAATCAAACCTGTAGTCAGATGAGAGGAGAGCTATATTTGTGCTCTAATACAGACACGTAACTGATTAGTTCTGTTTGAATGATGTGTTTTTTCATGTTGTATGTGTTACTGATGAGATTTCACTGCTTGAATAGGGTGCTTCTGCAGACTGATCTACTCCAATAAGACCTGCACTATGCCATCTGTCACCTTCCAGAACCTTCCTCTCAATATCTATATGGTGATCTTCGGCACAGGCATCTTCGTCTTCGTACTCAGCCTCATATTCTGCTGCTATTTTATAAGGTGAGTCTGATCTCACGCACACACATGAACACACACACAGGTGTTGACTTGAACACATCTTACTGATTAGCTGTAGGACAATATTGTGACGGGCCGGCAGTGAAAGTCAACAGGAAATTGCATTGTTGATGATACACATGCAGACGTCAACAGGACACTTCATGTCAGCAACACATTAGATGAGCTGTTATTAATGGAACGATTGTATTACAGGTCAAAACAATCCGCCTCAAATATCCTGCCCTTTTCTTTTCTTTTTCACTTTTCTTTTTTTCTTTCCTCATCTATCCAACCTTTCTTTCTTTCTTTCTTTCTTTCTTTCTTTTTCTTTTCTACCTATTTCTCTTTTCTTTTTTCTATTTAATTAAATCTATTGATTTCTTTTCTTTCCTTTAATTATCTGACCTTTTTTCTTTTCGTTTCTTTTCTACCTATTTTTCTTTTTTTCTTTTCTTTTCTACATATTTCTCTTTTATTTTATATCTATTTCTCTTATTTTCTTTTCTTTCTTTCTTTTCTGCCTATTTCTCTCTTCTTTTTTTCTTTTCTTTCCTTATCTATGCTACCTTTTTGCTTTTCTATCCTGTCCAATTCTATTGATTTCTTTTCTTTCCTTAACTATCCAAACTTCTTTTCTTTTCTTTTCTTTTCTACCTATTTCTCTTTTCTTTTTTCTATTTAATTAATTCTATTGATTTCTTTTCTTTCCTTTAATTATCTGACCTTTTTTCTTTTCGTTTATTTTCTTTTCTACCTATTTTTCTTTTCTTTTCTACCTATTTTTCTTTTCTTTTTTTCTTTTATTTATATTTCTCTTTTCTTTCTTTTCTTTTCTACCTATTTCTCTTTTCTTTTCTTTCTTTGCTTCTTTTCTTTTCTGCCTATTTCTCTCTTCTTTTTTTCTTTTCTTTCCTTATCTATGCTACCTTTTTTCTTCTTTATCCTGTCCAATTCTATTGATTTCTTTTCTTTCCTTAACTATCCGACCTTTTCCGAGATTTTCTTTTCTTTTCTACGTATTTCTCTTTTCTTTTCTTTCCTCGTCTATCCAACGTTTTTTTCTTTTCTTTTCTTTTCTTTTCTTTTCTACTTATTTCTCTTATAGAGACCACCGCTACATCAGTCCATTACAGACATTAAAGTCAGTCCTATTAGCCAAATATCTTAAAACATAATTCTGTCACGGCACGGTACAGAAACACACCGTAAAGCTCCCGGGGCCTGAAAGGCTTCCTTTCTGAGCCTGCATTTCATCTACATAATGAATTAATGTACAGGTTGATGAGTAGTGGTTGGCCATTGCACTACCACAATAACATTGTCACGGCATGGTACAGAACACACCGTGTAAACAGGGGGTCTGGGTCCAAATGCAGGCTTTTATTAACTGCAGGGGAAAACAAAGTAAAAATCAAAACAGAACACAAACAGATCTGAGAATCCGACACAGGCTCAAAACAGAAAACGGACTCTGACACAATACGGCCACGTAGCGCTTGCATCAGTCCCGTAACAACACTTAATAATCCGCCCAGAGAGGCGTGGGGAAGGCGTATAAATAGCCCTCAGGATGGGCAACAGCTGTGTGTGTGTGAGTGTGTGCACAGGTGTGTGGAGTCAAGGTAACGGAGTTCGGGAGGATGGGAAGTGGCGACCTCTGGTGGTGAGAGGGAGAACACCAGACCCAGACCCCTGACAAATTCCATTTCAATTAAAAATTACAAATAGTTTTCCAGTGTTTCATACATTGCAAATCTGCAAACCTGTATTTTAAAACTATAAACACAATCAGCACAATCAACATTTTACACCATGCGCTCATGAATAACATTTTTTTAAACATCAAAACTGTTCACACACCAGTGAAAAACCTCTGGATGTAAAAATAATTTGTTTGTCTTTGTATCCAAACAATGCAGAAAGTGTTTCAATTAAAGTCAGAATTAGAAAAAGGTGGAGGACGAAGTGAAACGTATATAATGAAAGCCAATTGTCCCTATTCATGTTTATTTACAGTGCAAGGAGCAAAAAGACTAATTGCACTGTATGCTAGTGGGATAATTTTGATATTGCCAATTTTGTAAGTGACTCAACTTATAATAACAATGCTGAAAACTTAGTGAATTATATGAACTCTTTTGCATATCTCATCATTGTTCAGTAACTGTATGCTTTATGTTTTCTTTTGTCATCAATAGTAAATTGAGACATCAAGCCCAAAGTGAACGCTTTGGATACAGAGAGGTAAGATGCTTTAAAGAGGTCATCTCTTACATTTTTATCATTTAGTTTTTTCCAAATATAATGTTATAATCAAGGCTATTTGTACTAACTGTTAGCATATGTGTCAACTGCAGGTGATTTTAAAAGGAGACCCGAAGAAGCTGAATCTTCATGGGGTAAGAAACTGCCCTGTCTAGATCCCCAATACTCCTAAAAACAGGAAATATCAGGGATTCCCAGGCTTGGAGCAGTCATAGAAAAAAATAAATAAATAAATAAATACACATTAAAATATTATTACAGTTTAAAATAACTGTTTTCTATTTTTTAATACATATTTTAAAATGTCATTTATTCCTGTGATGCAAAAATAGAAAATAGAAAAATTGTAATAATATTTCACAATATTACAGCTGAATCTTTGATCAAATAAACATAACTTTGGTGAGTGGAAATGACTTAAAAAAAAAATTTTTTTTAAATCCTAATTATTCCAAACTTTTGGCCAGTAGTGTATATATACACTGTAAAAAAATGAAGTAACGTCACAATGTTATAAATAACAGATATATTTCTTACTGTAACTACATAAAAACTCTGCACAAGCCTCTAGTCACAGGACTGATCCAGTCATCTAGTTACCAGCTGTAGTGTAATATAAAAGCCCACAAGCAAGTAAATCTCATCCTGATGTCCTTCTGACTGAATCCCATGATCAAATTAGTTTTTTAGTGTGCTGTTATATCTTTGAAAAGCTTTCAAGAGTTATTTTTATTTCCACCCATGTTTTTTCCCACTTTTCCTCATTGTTATTTGTGTCTCCACATCCCGTGACGTCCCTCCACAGCAGACCTGTGCCGTGTGCTTGGAGGACTTTAAGGTGAAAGATGAGCTGGGAATGTTGCCATGCCAACATGCCTTTCACAGGAGGTGAGTAATAAGCTGGAGTCTAACAGCTGGTGTTCGTAAAGCAGCAGCAGCAGCAGCATCCTGCTATTGTTAGCAGCTCTGTGTTAGATACTTCATGTTTACATACACTGGTCTTTTTCTCTTGAACATTCTTTGTTTCCCTATTTAGATATTTTCAGATTATGTGCATCAAAAACCAAAAAACCTATTTGTAATGAAATATTTGTGATTTATGCCAAATTTGATTTCCTAAATATATAGCCATTAATAGAGAAATATGTATCAATTAACGTCTTGGGAAGTGAAAAGATGTTTGTTTGTAAGAAACAAATCCATCATTGAGGCGTTTTTAACTTCAAACTGTTTCCGGCTAAAATACAAGTCCATAATCCATAATATTTCTTTCTCCAGTGAAAAAGCCGCCTCATCTGAATCAGGAGAGAAATATGCACAAACCAAGCACTGTTTACAAGAGAAAACAGTCTAAAACAGTTCTAAAGAAATATGTGGGTATATGTGAGAGGACAACGGGGATGTACTTTTTTCACTTATTTATTATTGATCATGCTCGTATCTTGGCCAGTTAAAGTTATAAAGTCTTGTTAGATTTGTTTCTTACAAACACGTTTCACGTCACAAGATATTAATTGCTGGACTGGAGTGGTGTGGATTACTTGTGGATTATTGTGATGTTTTTATCAGCTGTTTGGACTCTCATTCTGACGGCACCCATTCACTGCAGAGCATCCACTGGTGAGCAAGTGATGTAATGCTACATTTCTCCAAATCTTTAATGCCATTTCTATTGAAACTATTAGTAAATTATACATTTGTATTTACACTCTTGTAATATAAATTTGAATTTGAAGTACATTTAAAATATATTAACTTTAAAATAATACTGAATAACACACTACAGTTAAATTAGAGTACATGTGCTTTAGTATGTTACATCAAAATAAGTGTACTTCTTTAGACCACGACAAAAATGTAAAACTTTTAATTTGACATTATTACAAAGTACTTTACCTTTTTAAAAGAGTACTTAAGTGTGTTAAGAAACAGCCCTGTGATATAATCTGCTTCAGCTTCCCCTTTTAACATGAAGTATATCAACACAGGAATGAAAAAAGGGCAGATTTCAAGTCAAATGCAAAATACATGTTGGTCTGTGTGTTTGCAGGTGTGTGGTGAAGTGGCTGGAGGTGCGCTGCGTCTGCCCCATGTGTAATAAACCCCTGGCGGGATCCTCCGAGCAGCACCAGAGCATAGGCACACTGCTGGATGAGCTGGTGTAGCGCTCAGAAGCTTCTGGAAAGGGACAAGACTGACATCTGGCTTCAAGACTTTCTAAGGAGTCTTTTTTACAGACATGAACAGACTTGACTGTGACTCTCACAACTTCTAGGCTAAGGCTTTGTATCTTTTGAGTCAAGAAGCCTTTAATTTAACATTGAATGCTAACAGGGCTGTTCAGGCATAATGTGGTGTTGAATGCTAACCCTGTTGAAAAAACCATCATATGCTGGTTAGGTATGTTTTGACGCTGGGATGCTGGTTTAAGCTGGTCCTTTGCTGGTTTATGCTGGTCCTTTTGCTGGTTTATGCTGAGGGCCAGCATAAACCAGCATCCCAGCATCAAAACATACCTAACCAGCATATGCTGGTTTTTTCAACAGGGAACCCAGAAGGCTAATTCACCACTGGTTCCCTCAGGAATTTATAAGGGGTTTTTAATTGATGAGTAAAATAAGGTCTGTGGGAAACACTCATTTAATATTTATGAACAATTTAAATTTGGAAACCCTCGAGTGCTTTATAAACTCAAGTTGCTACATACAGTATGATCTACAACTACCACAAGAATGTGTGTTTACACACTTGACGAAACAAACAACCATTGTAGTCTTTATGTAGCGACTTTTTAAAGCACACAAATGTTTTGAATTGTCATTTGAGGTATGAATGTGTGTAATTTGTGGTGTGTGCCAAAATGTGCCAAAATTAAATGTAAACAGGCCACTAAAAACCAACTGAAACTCCTGTGAGGAACACTCTTGTCTTCTGGGTATTAGGACTACAAACTGATTATCTGTATTGTAAATGCTCTACATCAGACCAGCACTGAACACTGCGACTGCGAGTGACAACAGCACAGTGCACTGGGCCCAAAGAACTTTATTACAGTGTG